TGCAGACCATAAAAGTGGATCTTGAATATTAGAAATGAATGAAACATAACATTTTCCACGTATGTTTTTATACGTAACTCTAAATTCTTCTTCTGACCAAAATAACATATTCATATCTGAATTTTTGGCATAAGMTTCCAGTGGAATTTGTTCAGCTCTATACATACGTCGTACAATCATCTTGATGTTTTTTCTATCCCAATCAACAAAGTATATGGCCAATATTTCTGCAATTTCAAATGGATCAGGAGTAGTTTCATTTGAACCACGCATTGTATTATCCAATGACTTACGATAATACTCAGGATACTTGGTTTCATCAATAACTTTTTGTTCTTGATTAGTTGTCTTTTTATTTGTCTCTTTAAACACAAACGGTTCTTCTCCAATCATATTTGACCTTGAAGCTGTTTTGAATATATCAGGTTGTAAATAGATAAAACTACCAACTTTATACTCTTCATCAAATAATTTAAATTTATAAAAATATGAAATATTTTTTTGTGTTTCGATGAATTCATGTAATTCCGGTTCTTTTGATTTTTCTTCTAAGAGAAAATCTTCGCAATTACTACAGTACCCTTCTCTAATAACAGTATTTGGTTCTAAAGGTTTTGGATACTCGAACCTCCCAATTGTATCATCATATTGTAGTTGATAAAAAAATGAATTTTTATTTTTACGATTAATAGGTTCTAAGAGATCTTGTAATTTTGAATTACCGAGTTGGAACCAATTTTTACTAGGTATTTTTTGTACAACATCTATTACTTTGACTACATTTTTAATATCAATATTTGTACAATTTTTGAGAGCAAATATCTCTTGAGGGTCAGCTGTTTCACCTAGTACAGTTTCATAACTATGCATAAAGAGCTTAATGTGGGCCTTATTTTTAAACTTTGTCTTAAAAAAATATTCTATGCATCCTATTAATGGAATTGTTGAGACATTGTTTTTCACAACAAYAAACATTTTTTCACACAGTATTTGGTCTTTCCACATCACTTGGTTTACATTGACCCGTATATCAGAGATGTCTTTTTTTATTTTAGAGTTGCAAACATCATCAAACATAGTTTTGACAAGCTTATTCACATTTCCTTCATTTTCTTTATCATCAATATCTAATTGAGCAGCAAACATATTTTCAAACACATCTTTTACCAACTCTGTAGTAGTTGCCTTACTAAACTCACGTTTATTAATATCAGTTTTCACATATTGAATTCTTTGACCAGCTCTCCTAGATGGTGCTTTGACAGGTTTAAAAGCCCCTGAAAGCTGAGTCAATGTTTCAATACATTGAGTTTCTGCTAATGGTAAATGATATGTGTCGTTTAAGTCATATTCTAATACTTGATTGAGGACAAATTGTGCATGGGAAATAAGATCTTCTTCAGTGAATTTATTGCCTGTTGCTGGATTTACTGAGTTTATGACGCAATTTAAAATATCTTCATAAGTTGGATCATCGTATTCACTACCTAAAATATTTTTAATTACTTCTCTACTTAAATGTATCTTTTCTGTTACTGAAGTCATGTATTTTTTATATTTAGGGTGTGGCTCAATTAATAAATAATCAGCATATTCAGTGTTTATGCCTATTAATGCCTGAGTACCACCATCATATGATGATAACCACCATTCTAATATAGGTCCTAAACCCCTAGCAGGTATTCCTTCTTCTATGCCAGGACTATTGTCGTAAATTGGTTTTACATAGCCAGTCATATAAATTGTGACATTTCTCTCCATTACCCCTGAATCTATAGAACACATGTGCCCGTTTTCATCATAAATGCTGTAATTCGTTAAGTTATGTTGTACTACATCGTCATTATCAGTGTAAATATTAGCCAAAATTTCGTTTGTCAACACAATACATTCTGGTGCGGCATCTGAAGGTATACACACATCTTCAGTCATTGTTTTATGACAAAACTCGCAGCATACCTTAGTATTGATGATTGGAATATCTGTATGAATTTCATCGTCTTCAGAAGGTGAATTCTGCAGATCTTGTGTAATAGACGGTTCTTCCAATTTTCGTTTAACACCTTTAGGTTCTGGRTCGCCATTCGTACCACCCGCCATGTGTTAGACCTTTGTACGACTATCAGACCTAGTGTAGTAAATATAAAAATATAAATATTTTTAGACGAACAATGGGCAATATTATGGTATAATACTCATAAAATTATGATTAAATATTGTAAATACGCTTACCGGTACTTTTTCCAAAAACAATAATTAAGCGCAGAATCACCAAAATTCTGAGCAGCTGCAGCAATACCGACACCGACAGATGAAAAGGATGACTGGCAATTTCGACGGAAACAGATCTACAGGTGTTGATTAATATACACGTCTATGATAAAGTTTTTAGATTTCCGGCCGTATTTTCCAGTGTTTGGCAAAATAATGGCGCGAAAAGCCGAAAATATAACTTGTTATCAACGAAACCTGATATTTATATATAATCAACTTTGTACACGTAATATATAACCTCCTTGGAATAAATCTATGGTACACTGGTACCTCCTATGATCATATTGTGGTCGTGGTCACATCAT